CACTGAGATCACAGAAAAAATATCGAAAACGAACTCATTTTTTGAAGCGTAAGCTTAGCTAAGTATATCACAGATCATCGCCGTCAATCAATGCAAAATATCATACTAATACTCATGCACGTCGACTTGAACGGGCTCTTGCGCGCTGTCAGACTGCTGAAGAAAAAAGAATTACAGCAGCTTACAAGAGTTCCAAACAATTTTTCGCTTACTGCTTACAGATTCTATCCCTAGCCTGGTCACGCAAGCAAGATTTGAGGTCGACAGAGATAAAGCGAACTTATTTGCTGATTATTTACCCCCCCCCCTCACTGATGACTGCTTGACTGGATAAATATATCAGGTACCTTGATTTTCACTATATTGCGCAGGCTTTCTAATAGAGCATCAACTTCTCCAGATAAAATACCATATCAATTAACATTAACCCTTTGACGACAATGCGGATTTGCACGTAGCGTGCTCGTGGGACCACGCCTCTTTTTGGCGCGCCCAACTCTCGCACAAAATGGGGCAAAATTGTCCCTAAAAGCAGTTTTTTCTATCAAAATTTTGACTATGACAATAAACAAAATATGACTGCAGTCTTAAGCTTTATGATCATGTATTGTTGGAATTAGAAGTGGAAGTTTGGAAAGAAATCTCGGATTTCAAAGGGATGGTGTTTGAAAACTTAGAAATTCAAATGTACAGTAGAATTTTTGATATAGTTCAAACTTTCTTGTGTCTTAAGACTAAAAAGACGTAGGGGTCCTGATCTATAATTCACCTTAAAGGAAGCGATTACGATAGATCTCACAGGGGTTTAGAGGGGACGTGAGGGTCTCAATAGTACGCCAATGGCGAAAAAAGCAAAGAAATCCGTCAAATAAGCAAAATAGTACCCCTTTGATTGCCCTTTCATTTTCGACCATGGATGAGCGACGGTAAAGAACGACGTTGTTCGGACGTGTTAACCCCGATAGCCGCCATCATGCCAACAAGCATAGTGTTTTGATTGATAAGGCAATACGTGGGCAAGTTGGAAGATACAGCCGCTAGAAGGGAAATGATCATCCAAAATGAAAAGCCAACAGCAAACAGTCCATCCAGATCATCAACAAAACTAGTGGGCGTCACGTCACTGGGGGCGGGGCGTCACACGGGTCCTGCTCAGCAACCACAGCTTTTCGCCGTGGGAGGACCACACATCGCTTCCTTGGCAGCCAAGTAATTGCTCCGTGTGGCGCAGGTTCTCCCCCGATGCGAAAATTCCTTATCGTAATCGCTTCCTTTAAGCTTAATAATGTAAAACACTAGTTAATACATCGCCGAGCGAAGTGCCATATCCTAAAATTTCATATAAATTAGCTAGTAACAAACATTTCTGCAAAATATGCTAAACATAGGCGTAACGGAGCTTGCTTATAATTACTGATATGTTGAAAATGTTTTAAATGGGTAAGGAAGAAAAAATTTTCAGGGTGGCACCCACCATTGGGTGCCATTGTCCCACGCGACGGTCGATAGTGCACCCACCGGTGGGTGCCATTGTCGCCAAAGGCTAATAGAATTCAACTGCAACTGGCTAATCATTACGCTGCTAGAAACTAGTGGGAGCCGTCGTCACTTGGGGAGCGAAGTCTGCGGGTGGACACGCATCTGGCTACCAGATGCGAAAGGTATACGGTAAATTGAATTGAATGAAAACCTTTGATCGAGGTGATAATGTAATAAAACGTACAGTAGATTCAAGAGCGTACAGAAAATTAAAGAGAAGATATAGTCGTGGAAGGCGTCTACTGAGAGCGACAATTTTATTACCAAGATGTATTCGATCAATCCAATATTATGTCAGCAAATATATTTGGACCAAACGATTTAGTGAAATTGCAGGAGCGGGTATTTAACGCAAAGAAATATAGAGGTTTTGAGGCATGATGCCAATGAAGGTCGCAAGAACGCGAGGTCATGTTGCAGCGAACATGGCATGGACTAACCTGGAAATTATTTGATAAAAAATGTGAAAATACATGTGGGCAGGACGTAGAGAGCGCCAAGTTACCCGGAGGATAGAAACATTGCGGCTGTCTCTCCTACTGTGATCCCGGAGCAGACAAAATTTCAAGTGTCTTGGCAAGTTCAGCGAGAATTGAAATGCTGTCGAATTCTTCAGGGTAACACAAATCACTCCGGCAATAAAGGAGGATGCATAATAAAGGGGAGTTTCCACGCTAGTGGATAAGACAGGCGCCCTTCCGAAGGTGGGCCGACTGAGAACGCCGGGCGATGTGCATGGTTCTTCCTCGTACCACTGGCGGAGCTCTTGCCCGGTACTCTCCTCCAGCATTGTTCGTGCCTGAGTCTCTAGCCGTACAGCGGAGAGAGCGTTAACGTTGAAGAGGACAGCTTTGATGAGAGTTACATCAATGCGCAAACCAACAGAAAAGCAAGAGGTCCCATCTCTAGGGTTTTAGGCCATTTTCTCGGTTTTTTTTCTTTGAGCATCACTAACAATCTCTAAATTGGTTTCCAATGGGTTGCGTTTTCATCGTAAAATCGGCCTTCAAATGAAGCGAGGCTGAAAGATTTTTAAAAAATCAAGTAAACATTTTGGATCAGGTGTGGTTTTTGCACTGAAAAGTAAAGCACAGGCGAAAACAGACCGATGAACGAGGAAAAAAGAGAAAAAATCTACAAAAACCTGGGGAATAGGTGGTTCGCTTTTGTGAGATGAACTGAATGCTGGTGAGTTGTGCGCCGGGGAATCAGAACAAATGGAGGGGCATGGCGACTAGCGAGACGCAGACAACACGGTGGATAGTTTCGTCGCGACCAACAGTGAGATCAATCGGAAACACAAATGAACGGTACCTAAATTCCGAGAAACAGTTCTATCGTCCTTTTCAAAAAAGTGGAAAACCGAATTTAAATGTAACACTTGGAGTTATTGTGGCAAAATTTATTGGTTTATCCAAATTTAGTCTGATCGCATTCCCGTTTGCCAAATGGTATAATTCACAATTTTTCAAACGACAGCTTTTTCAACGAAACCGGCGGCCAGGTTTCTTTCATGGGGGGGGGGGCCGGGGGTTTCCCAGAGATTGGGTTTTTTAGACGCCAGGTTTCCATAACCCACAAAGGGGAGCCAGTTTTTACAGCCAAGAACCCGTCGGGAAAAAAATCGATTGGTTAGAACCACATGGCCTTGCCACGTGATTACGGTAACGGTTTTTCGCCTGAACGTCCACAAGCGCAGTCTGCTCAAGGTACTTACTGCAACCACGTTGTTGAGAATTCTGTCAGTGCAAGAATCGACTAAAAATATCGCAATAAGACATCGATAACATCAAATAAGAGCTGGGAGTTGACACAGCCAACTTGCGCACAGATAATTTGCCGCACAAATTTATTTTTTTATTATAGCAACGCGACTTTTAACATCAGGATCACAGATTTCGATACAGGCTGGGGTAGCGCTTTGCAGTGGTGGTTGGCCCAGCGCATTCTGCATAGTCAACATACGCGTGTGGGTTGTTGTTGCTGTGGTGGAGGCGGTGCAACATATATGGGTTGTTTGTTTGTGGTGAGTGGAGGCGTGAGCAAAGCATATTGATGGCTGGGGGGCAGGCTGTTTTTCACCATAAACTTCAGTCCACTGGGACCTGGTTGTGTGGTGGCGCTTTTGTTGTTGAAGGCGTCTCATAGATAACTTCCTTCACAACTTTTGTCGGCGGCGAGTAAGGGCACTCACAGTAAGCGTTCTTGTAGTGTTCAGAACTTCCCGCAATCTGGCTCATCCATGCATTTACCTTAAATATCAGTGCTGTTTGGAGTACTCGATTAGCGATGTGGTCGCAATCAGGAAAGCTACGCAGAACGCAGCAAGCACCGTACCTTACTGCAGGCACAGTTAGAAATCGTAAAAGTGTAAGCAAATTGTCCGTTAATGTTTGCCGAACCCAGATTACTGAAGTCTCCAAGCTCACCAGCGTATTCCTCAATCTATAATGAAAATTGAGTTTTTAAAAAGCTATATGTAGCTGCGAGAAAAAAAGAACAACACATGGTACCTTCGTTTTTGGGAAGTAGCCCATATATTCGCCCACTTTGCCCGGATCGTAATTAGCATCGGTGATCACCTTGCACTTCCCTATACTATCCTCCCTCCCAACATGTGGTGGTGGTGGTACTCGGCTGCAGCTTAAATTTACATTTTGGTCTTAGCGCGATTTTCTTAATTCTAGATTGAATAAAAATACGCCCAAACCTTTCACTGCAAAAACTTACCATGGTAAATCCAAAGGCAGCAAGAACGAAAAGTAAACGTTTCATGATGGACGCGTTCCATGAGATCGTTTGACGGCCGACGCTTTTATATTCCTGAACGGTAACGTTAGATCTATCAATGAATTTCCCTCCTTTGTCATTTGCCAGCCATATTCACAGGATTTAAATTTCATAGCTTTTCGGAATGGAATTTATTGTTTCCAATGATTGCTCTTTTATGTCGTTATCGCTCCAGAATACTCTTCACTATTGCTGAAAAAGGCAACAGAACTAGAGTTCACTCGCTCAACTAGAATTTACCAACTGGGGCCTAATTTTGGCCATTCTGGCATATCCACCCAATTCTGGCCTGCTTTGTGTCATGAATATGCCTCACTGACTCACCTGCAGCCCTTAGTATCTGATTAGAAGACAGCACACATCAAGGGGCAAGGGGGTAACGGGGTCTGATGGAGTGCATTCAGCCGAAATAGGTAGATTCTGAAATGCTCAAATATAATACCAATTAGAGTTTCGAGGCAATTTGGGTTCAATGCTGGTGGATGGTCGAGCGACGCCCGATTTTTGAGTACGGTAGCGCGAGTTGTATGGAACGCATCGTTTTGTACTCCTTCTGACTAGTAAAGGACGCCATTCGTTACGGGTCCCACTGCCTCCTGCTACAGTGAACCCTTCAATGTGGAGCGGGGAATCCGTGAGCCAGGGGCAGTGTCGCCAGTCTAGGGGGTGGGGGGTGAGGGCAGACACTTGACATGCGTGAGAAGCTGGAATGTTCGAATTCAACCGCGATCACATGGGATCCCCGCGGGTTAAGGCAGTGGGTCCCGCAACGAATGGCGCCCTATACTAGTCAGTAGGAGTACAAAATGATCGCTCCTTCCTCCGCGAGTTGTAACTGTACCCAGTAGGGAGGCGGACCCGCTGTTTGATGAAGAGACACGCTATGGTGTGATTGCCCACATTACCAGCTTTTCGCTTCATGTGTGTGAATGCCCCCCCTAAAGACTCTGGCTGGCCACAGCTTACCCTTGGCTGAACGTGGACCTTACGTTTCGCGCGACACTCAAGCGCGCGGGCGGCCATTAATATCACATGATCCCCTTCAAAAAGCGAGAAAGTGTCGGGTGCAGACCAAACACCACAACTGACGACGGCCTCCAAGTAAATCTGGTTAGAAGTTGTTCATAGTGATAGCTGATTTCTGGTAAATGATAGTTGTAATTAGTGACAATCGATAGAATACAACTGCAACAGGCTAATCATTTCATTGGCAGAAAACATTAACATTTTGTGAAGGCCGTCGTCACTTGTGGTGCATGGTCTGCACCCGACACTTTCTCGCTTTTTGAAGGGAAGGTACATTTCGCGCCTACCGTATTCGAACAGTCGGCGTACCGTCCCACTTGCTTCTCGTAAAGGAGTTATGGCTGCAAAATATAATTCGATATCCCCACAGAAGCGGCTAGCATCGCCGCGACCGCAAAACTTTCCCATGGTAGGCGTTGACGTGGCGTTTACGTGGCGGCCGTTTATTGCACATCTTTTGCGGCACCAGGAGCAGCGATAGCGCGCGATGGCTACAAACGCCTCCCACGTGACTTTTCACCACTTTTCGTCATGAAGCGACTTTTGGTTCTTCGGGTACGCATTTGACTTGGAATTCGCACAAAATATCCATTTTTTGAGGCGTCATTTTCTTAGCTTCCTCTGCGAATTAATATGCTTTTCTGACGAATGGTCGGTGGAGGCACTCGAGGACAGGATCATGGGCCTACGTTGTGTTACGAGTAACTACGGGGGGTCGTACTCAGTTTGAGCTTGGGAGGGAGGGGGTCGTACTCTCTTGTGGCCAAAAAGGATTCTTGGTAATATCGGATAATAGCCAGCACGTTACGTTTTCGTAAGATGACTGATACTAGAGCATCTACCACGATTCCCTCTAAATGAGCTTTCAAATGAATCAGCGAATTAGAAGGGCGCCCGAGGCGTGGCGCGCACCAAGGCAAGGGATGTAGTGCAAGCGCATGCTCGGAGCTTTCTAGCACATCCTAATTAAACATAAAATTGGTCTTCCAAGAAGTTACGGGCAGTGAAACCTAAGAAAACTCGCGTTTTCGAGAAAATGGCTTGAAGAATACCCCTCAAAATAAAAAGTAACAACGGGACTAATTTTTGAACTGCTGATCTTTCAGGAACGCTTGGGTGCTCGTTAGAAAGCTTGAAACCTGTAGTTTATTATACGTTCAGCTTCCCAAATGAATGACTTTGAAGGAAGTTATGATCGTTTGAAGGTCAAAAAGTCGCGGTTCCAAAAAAATAGTAACGCAAACCCCCAAAAAAGTAACAACGGGACTAATTTTTGAACTACTGATCTTTCAGGAACGCTTGGGTGCTCGTTAGAAAGCTTGAATCCTGTAGTTTATTATACGTGTTCAGCTTCCCAAATGAATGACTTTGAAGGAAGTTATGATCATTTGAAGGTCAAAAAGTCGCTTTGCACAGAAAAAAGTAACAACGTACTAAATTTTTATTAAATTAACTTTCGAAGAATTTTTACCCTATGGTTGGAGAGAGAATAATTTGAATTTTCCAAATCAAATCACTTCGGCGCTGAAGCTCGAATATGAAGGAAGTTATAGCCTTAGAAAAGGGG